TGTACGTTATTTCTTATCTAAGCAGCTGTTACATACATGTACGTTATTTCTTATCTAAGCAGCTGTTACATACATGTACGTTATTTCTTATCTAAGCAGCTTGCTACATACATGTACATTATTTCTTATTATTAACAGAACAAACTTCAAGATTTTAAACCATTCTTGGTAATAATAATGTCTATCGTTTAACTACAGGGTGTCCGAAAACTCTGGAACCATAGGTGATTTGCAGTTTTTCTTAATTTCAGACACGTGACTCATTAACTAAGGCGCTGTTAAAGCATGAGAAGGTCGAATTAATCCCGTTGTGTGGCAGAGAAGGTTTGTCCCAGCGGATGGTCGCTGCCAAATTTAATGCACGCCATCCAGAGAGAGAGAGAAAAAAAAACATCACTCGCAGTGCTGTTGGGAAGTTGTTAGCTAAACTTAAGAAGACTGAGAGTGTGGGCTATAAACAATGACACGAATATGCTTCGCAGTGTTCAAAGAGAATAGAAATATCATCTCCAAATTTGTTTAAAATTACAAGGACAACATGTGGAATTAATAGTATCCGTTTTAATGACAAAATACCTTGTGTGTGTATACAAATATAGCATCTCAATCTCCAATGCAATATATTCCTTGTAGTGTTGGCCAGGTGGTTAGGGCGCTCGACTCGCAATCTGAGGGTCGTGGGTTCGAATTCCAGTCCCTCCAAACATGCTCGCCCTTTCAGCCGTGAATGCGTTATAATGTGACGGTCAATCCCACTATTCGTTGGTAAAAGAGTAGCCCAAGAGTTGGCGGTGGGTGGTGATGACTACCTGCCTTCCCTATAGTGCTAAATTAGGGACGACTAGCGCAGATAGCCCTCGTGTAGCTTTGCACGAAATTCAAAAAACAAACAAACAAACTTGTAGTGTTCAGTTCTATTTCGGAACACTAAATTCTGTCGAGTTTGCGTGATAATTCAGCCCTAGGTGTTATTTTCTGAAGTTAAAGTCCAGTCACAAAAACGATGTTTTATCGAACAGTTGTATTGTGTCGTACTATATTTTGTGTTTATGGAAATGGTCTACGAAAATCACATGGATTCCGAGATACTTCTGACATCTTACGATCCAATTTTATCATTGATCAGCTCCAAATATGATGAATTTTAAACTCAATTGTGACGTTTTCAACTTTTTTTGTCTGACTTGAAAGACTCAAGACTTAGATTTCTATCCCTTTGAGATTTCTTACACTGTACGTAGCTTTCTTTTAGAAATCACATACAAGCAATCATAAATTTATTACAATATATATTTCCATTTCATTTTAATAAAGTAGTTTAATTTATCAATCCTTGCCACCGGACTATAAGTTATTCTTCCGCTTATCTCCAGAAAATAAAGAGTTCGTTGTTGCTTTAACTTCATTCTAACTAAAACAAATCAGCACATCTATTATTCTATTTACTAGGTCCACAAATACAGTTGCTGTATATACTAGATCTGTACTTGGAATACCTCAGATCGAGATGAAAAATTGACTAAGATCTGGTCATTGTGGAAATGGTTCTCATCTTGTGTCTTCAGTTTTTATCCAAACTGTTTCTTTCTTTTCTCTTTGCAAAATACCATTCAAGAGGTGCTCTGGAATCATTGCAGAGAAGAGATAAAATTTTCTAAGGGTGAGGACCTCAAATAGACGAATAGATTTTTTTTTTTCAAATGTTCTTTAACAGAATCCCAAAACTTCACTCACCGAAATAATTGAAATGCGGCGTGGTCCATCCAGATAATTTCAATCGTTCCCTTGGAGACCAACTCAGCCCAAGGTCATTAACAGAAAATTACCGAGAATGGGGTTAACCAGTCTTGGTTACATTGAGACCCCTTTGGGCAGTCTGAATGGGAAGTCATGAAGTTGTACAGCCAATGTTTCAGAAGCCCAACACTGTATAAACCCCTTAGTATCATCTAGAGACGAGCTGAGATATGTGGACAATATTGATTACCCCAACATTACACTTATAGTAATGTGATCGCCATTAGGCGCCATGCTCTGGTGTACTCTGGTTCAGGTAGGAGCCTTGTGTTTGAATGGTCTCAAGCAGTAAACTTATTGTCATGGTGACGAGTTGCTCGAACGTAACTTTAACCAACACTTATGTATACATATTTGATCTTAAGCTGGAATTATGCTGGATCTATGCTGTGAAGATAGGAAAAGCAAAAAAAAAATTGATAAAAGCTGCAATGTTGTGCATTTCCATTGTTGGACTGTAGTTTAGGCAAACGTTCACCATCAATGGGGATTAATACCAAGAACTACTATAATAAAATAAAGGTAAATAATTCATCACATACTGGAAATCATAATTAGTATGTTATATTACCATGGAATAATATAAACATTATTCTATAGTGTTTTTGTAAAGAAATCTCCTACTAACCAAAATTCGTCTGCATACTGCATGTACACGCATACTTATGTATGATAAACAGTAATAGATTCGCATTAGTCAAAATTTTTATATTAATCAAAGCACTTATGATAAAAATAATAATTTAAAGAAAAAATACAACAGAAATACCCGTATATTAAGTAAAACCTTTGTCATTATTGTAACTATTTTGCCTATACAATACGAAATTAGCTTGGGAAAACTGACTCTAATGGTTACAGAATTCAGCGTGCGAAAATTGCCATAAGCTATAGCATTTTCTTTATGAAAATTTGAAAATTCAGAAGTACTTTCAAACATAGAATACAATATTTTTCGCGAGTATTATGTGACAGAGCATGAACTGGTTTAATGGTATATCTTTTTTTTTCTTGGTGTGAAAGCAATAAAGTAGACGTGAAACTGATTGCTACTATGCCCTCAAAAGCTAAGAGGGATATGAACAGTTTTGAATTCACCAAGAAGACAGAAAATATTGTATTCTACGCATAGTCTATTCAGTAACATTTCTGCTGTCTTTTTACCTCATTGTTACTTTTCTTGTACAATTCAGAGTGCTATATGTGGCGCTGTTTTCATGATACCCGAGTCCCAATCACTTATTCTGTGGATAGAACTGAGCTCAGTCACTATATGTAGGCGAACACGTGAGTGTAAAAGTTTTATATAGGTGGTATAAACGTCTGCCTAAATTTCTGCAAAATAAATTTGGTTTGAACAGTATATGTGAAGTGAAGAAACCTTTACATTCAGGTCTGCATGATAATTTTGAGAAAACATCAGCATGGTTGGATTGTAGGTTGCCCCAATCACTACCCTATGCTGAAGCCTGACCTATTCACCCGTTACAGGGTAGGTTGAACAGTGATCATCAAAATTTGGCGCATTCCCTCTGTGACCTCTGTGTCTTACTTTCAAAATCAGAGAGCATACCTTTAAATTTGGAGTAGAAGGAGAGAGTCAAAATCTGGAAATGTGCCCATCAGAAGGGTGCCAAGTAAGGGTGCACCACAAAAGAAAAATCTTGGCTTACCATAGCATAAAGAAGCCAAGAGGTTTATCAAGCATTTAGGTTCAATAAAAAGTGCCCTAGAGGACCTTAGTAAGCACCTCAATTGGCAAAGAAACATAGCATGAAGAAGCCAAAAGGTTTACCAAGCATTTAGGTTCAATAAAAAGTGCCCTAGAGGACCTTAGTAAGCACCTCAATTGGCAAAGAAACATAGCATGAAGAAGCCAAAAGGTTTACCAAGCATTTAGGTTCAATAAAAAGTGTCCTAGAGGGCCTTAGTAAGCACTTCAATTGGCAAAAAAAGTCAAATCTTAAAAAGGAAATGCAGCAGCAGTAGCTTTCACGTCACCAGTAGTGATATAACGAACAGGCTAGGGACCCAAGACTTAAAGGTAAACTACAACCGTTATTACAGCAGATCGTGATTATATGTCAGTGCTGTATTGATGCCGTCACTATCAAGACCATGCGCAAAACGCTAGAATGTAAGTGTTAGATATACACAAATGTTTCTTTTGAATTTAATATGAGAGTTACGATTCAGATAGCTATAAATAACGAGTGTTAAATTTAGTATTTTAGAAGCTGTAATTTATTGCAGGTTTGTTTATGTAACTGTGCACAAATTATGTGTTGTGTAGTTCACCAGTCAGTGATTGTTATATTGTTGCGTCATGTTACTAGAATGAAATGAAAACAACTATTTAAAACTTTGAATATAACTGTGGCAACCAACAGTTATAGTGGTGATTTAAAGCCTAGTATTGTAACAACAGAGGAGAGGAGAATAATTTGTCTTGTTAAAGGGTGTTGTAAAGTAACTGAACCTGTCTGTGTGGACTTTGACGAAAAAGATACAATTATTTAAAGCTCTGGATAGAATTATGATAACCAATAGTGTAACGAATTTTTGTACATATGTTTGACTTAACTTGAATAAATTATTTTAAAACAAGTGGATTGTGTGTTGTCTATTTATTGTTGAAGTTTATCGCCAGCAAGTCACAGACATTTAATGCAAAGAATCGCGTCTCGATAAAACCTGGTATTGAGAGAAATACTCTATGACTGAAACCAAGTGAAAGATGAATGACTCGAGGCATAGATGTCGTTTACAGTATGTTCTCGTGAGGATGCAAATTTACCACATCCTGGATGGTCTACTGAGCATCCTCAAGTAAATTTGTCTGAATCATTGGATGTAAATAATTATATTTTGTATACGTTTCGTCTATTCAAACGTGTGTATAGAAATATAACAATTTTCGTTATTTTCGTGATGTTTGCTTGTTATGAATTTCGCGCAAAGCTACACGAGGGCTATCTGCGCTAGCCGTCCCTAATTTAGCAGTGTAAGATTAGAGGGAAGGCAGTTAGTCATCACCACCCACCGCCAACTTTTGGGCTACTCTTTTACCAACGAATAGTGGGATTGAACATTATAACGCCCCCACGGTTGAAAGGGCGAGCATGTTTGGTGTGACGTTTGAGTCGAGCGCCATAACCACCTGGCCATGCTGGGCTATTTTCTTGATATTAAGTATTTTTATTAACAATTGCACATGTTTTATGAATGAGTTGTATCTTACCAAATGTATGATGTGCTTTCAAAATGTTTGTTTGTAAAATACATAGCAGTTATGTATTTTAACATTTTCTTATATGTGTGTGTATCTTGTATCGTGTAAATAGCAATGCCTTTTGTATTTTATTATTTAAACCCGGATTTATAAGTTTGCATATAGTAGTATTTTTCTCTAAGGTGTTGTGTAATTCTCTTTAATTATTTTATGTATTCAAAGGTTTCTTCTGTATAACCATTGTAAAAATGTCCTCTACTTTGACCTCTGAAAGTTCATCAGCATCCCTGGAATCCTCCCTTTCTCACTTCTCATAAAGCATATTTGCCAAGGGTGGTTTTCATGTACATCACCTGGGCTTAGCAGTTGTCTCCCCATTGAACAATGCCTGCAAGATATATTCCTTCAGTAGGTCCCGAGTCCTTAAAATATCTGCTATGCTGAAGTCGTCACAACAATTAAGGATCATTCGTTTTCTTTTCTTATTCACTGTTTCTATGGCAGCAAAGGTGCTTCCATGGGACGTTTGGGAGGTTTTCCACTGACTCTCCTTTTCCAGAAGATCAGGGAATTTTCTTTTTTCAGGCTATGGTCCCACGGCAGGTGTGCCCAGATCGTGCTACACTTCGGACAGGCATGTATTACATCTACAGGTTTTCTTCTCTTTGTCCTGCCACAAGTTAGTTTCTGAAGTGGATTGGGATGCCATCAAATGGTCAGTATTACTAGAGGATGAGGAACACAAACCATTGAAGGATTGGCTACAGACATAACGTTCTCAAATAACCCAATCAACATGTTATATTCACCTTCATCCTCCAATGGAAATATGATTTGGAAAATATAGACTGGGAAGAGACAGACCGTGTCTATCAGGTAACTTGGGAAGTACGAGTCACAATACTTTATCACTTTTGAATGTCTTGACCAATCGACTATCCTAACTCCTGGGAAAAAGTTCAAGTTGATGCATGTTATCAAGAGAAGACTCCTGGCTGATCCAGGGCAGATCTGCACGATATGTGTGATAATGACGGTGCTACCAGAAGCTGTGTAGGGTCGGGTTGCCTAATGTTTTCTACTTGCCATAGCTCTTCTTTAGATGATTCCAAGAGGCTTAACCAGAGCAGCGTTTCGAGTGTGATAGGTGCCAAAACATGCAACACAATGGGCAGATTACTCAGTGTAGTTTGAGCACAACCACGTTTGGTTATCCCATCTCAGCAACTTTCCACATCTGTCTTTGTTCAACTAATAGAAATGTCTCTTTGTTTTGTTTTCGTTCAGAATGATTTTACGTGTACGTGTGGATATATATATACATACAAAAGTACCTCTAAGTCTTCATATTAACAGAGCGACTTTGGTTCTTAGCTGCTTGCTGCTTTTAGGCGTCAGAATAGCTTTAGTGCATTATATACATATCAATATTATGTAATACTGAGTACCTCTAATCTTGATATTAACAGAGCGATTTCGGCTCCGACAACACGGGTGTTAGCCGTTGCTTGGTGATAAGGTAGCTTGTTTCCACCACTCCAGTCAACAATTATAACGTTGAAGTCTCCAGAAAGAAGAAACTCGTCTTTCATATCCTATACACAAGTAAAAATGTTTTGGTGTTAACGTACCTCTCAATTTCACCTAACTGGAAAACGGAAATCAAATAACTAAAAGGGAATTACTCAGAAAATTGAAAAATTTAAAAATAGTTAACTTCAAACTTCTGATATTTTTTATTCTAATGCTTTGATAAACATTTTTTTGCTGTAGAAAAAATAATGCATGTAGGTTTCTTTGATCGTAAACGTATAGACTTTTGAAAGGTATTTTAAAATTTCTATAATTTAAAAAAAGACCCAACAGAGCATGTAAACGTTTTGAATATAAGAATTTAGGCTTACCCTCATCCAAAGTCCAAACAATTTATTATCGATGTAACCATGGACAATAAACTTGGTTGGGCGATTTATACTGAATTCAGACTTAAGAACCGAATTTTTATCTGAACTTTTCAGCACCCGCTCGTCTTTGGGACGATCTCTTGTGTAAAGGTTAAACTGGACATTAATGACTTCTCGGTCATCGGGGAGAACACTGACTGGTCGAAATAGAAGATGAAAAAACACACCACCGGTCCCAAAACATCCGAGCTCATCAATGCATTTTATTTTCTCTCCCTGAAAGGTTTCTGTAAAAAAATTTGGAACGTGAATATTGCAAAACAAATAGTAAATTTGTATCCATTTAAAAAAAAAATTTCTTCAAAATTATTTACTTAAATTAACATGCTTTATTTGTTGTAAACATATTCGCCACCATGGGGAAGCGTTATTATGAAATTTACTAGATAATCCTAGAATACGTTTTACATGAAAACTCAATTATATAAGTTACTGTGCCCTGCATGGCCAGGTGGATAAGGCGCTCGACTCACAATCTGAGGGTCGTGGGTTCGAATCCGCATCCCACCAAACATGCTCGCCCTTTCAGCCGTGGGGGCGTTATAATGTGACGGTCAACCTCACTATTCGTTGGTAAAAGAGTAGCCCAAGAGTTGGCGGTGGGTGGTGATGACTAGCTGCCTTCTAGTCTTACACTGCTAAATTAGGGACGGCTAGCGCAGATAGCCCTCGTGTAGCTTTGCGCGAAATTCCAAAACAAACAATATAAGTTACGCATTACATTTTCTTATAGATTACATATAAATCATTCTTAGAACCAAACAACTTTAATGATGTTACTTATTTAAACTCTCTAACTATGGCCCTGCCAGTGGCTAATCGGTATGTCTGTGAACTTACAACGCTGGAATCCGGGTTGCGATACCCGTGGTGGGCAGAGCACAAATAGCCCATTGTGTAGCTTTGTGCTTAATTACAAACAAACAAACTCTCACTACATAGTATTTAAACTCTTTAACTATGGCCCTGCCAGTGGCACATCGGTATGTCTGCGAACTTACAACGCTGGAATCCGGGTTTCGATACCAGTGGTAGGCAGAGCACAAATAGCCCATTGTGTAGCTTTGTGCTTAATTACAAACAAACAAACAAACTCTAACTACATAGTATTTAAACTCTCTAACTATGTAGTATTTTAAGTATACTATCGACTTACCTTATATGTATAATATATATATATATACATATATATATAAAGTTAATATCAGGTTTAATATAAATGTGCATTAACAACAAAAGTAAATAAGCACAGAAATCCATTTTAAGCTTTGTCATTGTAAATGTAAAAATATATATATACATACCATTATTTTGGTAATGTTTGTGGAGGTCAACCACCGCAAACCCCTGGATCCATATAGGAATGAAAACTAAAAGCGAAATAAAGTGTAACCCTGGAGGCTTCAACATCACTTTTAATTAAGTATACGATGTGACTATCTGGGAGAATGGTTTCAGCAAAGAAAGGGGTTTGATGTGATTTCTCTTCCAGCACTGACAGTTTTATCATGAAACGTCTTTAGCGTTATCAAAAGTAACTTTAACGTAGCATCAACGTCACATGTGAGATAATACATTAAGTTTTAACGATTATCATTATCATAGATATGATTAATACCATATGACAGATTCTCACGGATACAATTAATCGTGTATTACTAGAACGTGATATTGGAAAACGGTGCCAGTAACATTTTTCATAGTTCTCGTAAGCTCTTTTTATCCTTTCAAATTTAAATATTTGTCGATACATCGAAAGATAACAAATAATAGAAATAATGTCATTTTGTATAAAAATCTAAAATAGTTGATGACAAATACCAAAAATATTTTCATAATAACACAGGCCTGGGATGGTTTTATTGTCTTGGCATTTATAAACGTTCTACAGTAATTACTGTAGGCTGAATCCGAAATCGATATCCAATTTTTCTCCATCACGTTCAGATTTTTCACAAAACGTCATGACGCAATAGAGAAATGAAATATTACATGTAGATTTGAGATTAAAAGGTGTAAATTTCACACACAAAAAATCAGGATGAATGAGGATGCATATTTCTTTGACATCAATGTTCTTCCCTTTTCTTCAGTTTGTTTATATTTTTGTTAACAAACATAATAATAAAAAATGTTTATTGTGATAAACTAAACAATAATTTGATCTAAGTAAGAGTTGTTGTTTTTCTTCCCAATTTGTAAAAAATCCTTACGTAGCTGAATTATGGAAAATCCGTTATTAAAACCAAAACAACTTTTATGAAGTTTAAATTCGCAGGCCTGTAATATTGCTAATTTAATAAAATTTCTGTTTGTGACTTCTTTATCATATGGTAATATGCCAAATGATTATGTTTTTTTACAAATGCAAAATTTTAGTATTCATTCATAAATTTTCTTATTCTACTGTTTCACATGTTGTTTTACATTACTGTGGTTAATCACACTTTAACATAAAGATGTTCCATGTTTTGTGCTGCCTTTAATTTAAAGTTTTACATTACTGTGGTTAATCACACTTTAACATAAAGACGTTCCATGTTTTGTGCTGCCTTTAATTTAAAGTTTTACATTACTGTGGTTAATCACACTTTAACATAAAGATGTTCCATGTTCTGTGCTGCCTTTAATTTAAAGTTTTACATTACTGTGGTTAATCACACTTTAACATAAAGATGTTCCGTGTTCTGTGCTGCCTTTAAAATCGCTTTTTCTCTCATCGATTGTGCTCAGTTCGGTGGCCAAAGTTATGAACTATTAGCTAACACCACATTCTCTACAAATGTACATCGTGGACATCAGTTTCCACGACCACGTTTAAACAGACCAAACTCACAAAAGTCTTTTGGAGCTGCTGTTTCGGAAGATTTGATTTGAGAGTCATGTGGTAGAATGAGATTACGTTTAACGTTTAACTTGTTAGCCTTTATTAACTTAAAATTATTGTTTGTTACTTTGTTAACAGTATCTGGAAATATGACTATCTTTATTACATTGGCTTTTCGGGCCGAAGGGTTCTCATTCATAGCCATAGCCTTCACTTTGCATGTTAAGGCTTTGTAAGTGAATTGGGTTGGAGTACGATCTCTGAAACCTCTTCTGTGAAATACTATGCTTTTGATTTTGCATTGTTTAACAGTTTTGCTGTATGAATATTTCTCTTCGGAAAGACTTTTATTTCCCACCAGTGAAACGTCAAACCATGGGACACTGCATCATAAAATAGTTAGTAACTGGTGCTAAACATGGTGCTGTGATAATCTGACTTACTAAAAATATCTTACTGGCGATAGTTAACAGGTTAACCCTTTAGCTCAGTGGGTTGCGAGAGGTCTCGGGTTCGAGTCCTAGATTAGAAGATGGAAAAAATGATCTTACCAAAAAGCAGATGGTACCCCAATATTGGTTAACATCGAGATTAGGCTCTAGGACGAGACTTATTTGTGAGAGGGAAAGAATATGATACTTTCAATTGTTAAAAAGTACTTTACAAGGAACTGCTACAGGATTAACATTTTGGTTAAAGCATTTACTAAGGCAACAGGTTTGTGGCTGTATCTAGACCCTGGGAATTTCATATACAAATCTTTTTTAAAAAAATAGATAACTTTCTGTTTTCCTAACAGTTGCATTAAAGAGTCAATCACATTAGTTTCAATTCCGTACGCGTTATATTTGCAATAAACATGAAATAGGTTTATTTATGTAGTCAGGAGATTATTAATCCAATAAATCACGTTATATTAGACAGGTTGAAATAAAAGTTGTACACCACGATAATATTTCTGAGTTTTGCCCTTACCATGATTTTATAAATCATTTTTTTTGTTTCATTAACTGCCTTTTTCTTTTGTTATGATAACTGACATGGATTTCGCTAACCTTGTAAGAATGTGTGGAAGTGATCTTATCCTGGATGGATGCTGGACTCGGTCAGCAGCACACGATAGAATCGGAAGCTTTTTTTGTCTCACAGACTACTTACACTTCTTGACCGTTTGCTCGCCAAGTTTTGTGAAACTGGTCCTGTGGCTGATCGTGAATCATGGTTTTTAAGGAAATTAATTTAAAAGCTAAAAACTGGCAAATCAAAGATTGTTTAAAATGGTCAAGCTTATAAGTATATAATACATATATATTAAAATTTACTCCAAAAAAAGTGAAAAGACAAGACATATAGAAGAAAATTGTGAAAAACCTATATGGTTATGAGTGGTGTATAATTGATTACTAGCATTCAAATAGCGTCGAAGATAGCCCGTATCTTCAATTATACAACAACGCAGATAAGAATTTGATATGCAACACATTTGAAATTATAAGATGGCCTGGTACTGGTGCTTGTACCCATGATGTCCTGAACCAGACTATATATTCACTGTCTGCAGCCAGCTATGGGAAGATTGTTGCCCAGCAATAAAATCAATTGAACAATATAATCACTGGTAAACCTACATAATTCAGAACGCTAATAGCAGATAAATAATGTATGGTATTGTCAACCATATTCATGAAAATAAAAATATAATTTATTTTCTCAGTAAAAGTTATGTGAATCATCTACGTTATATTAAGTATTTTGTAAATATTCCATAATTGGTTAAAAAATTAAAACAACTTAAACCTTAACTGAGAACTGACCTTTGGAACTGACCAACGGGTTCCCCGGTGAGACGACAAAACATTTGCAGATTTACAACGTTAAAATTCGAGTTTCGATTCCTCGCGTGGCTACAGCAGATGGCCCAATGTGATTTTGCTCTAAAACAAGCAAACAAAACAAATAGATCAACAGTTCATGTATGATCATTATGAGGCATTATTGCTACTTTTAATAATAATCGTTAAAGGACGCATAAGTAGTAAACGTTTAAATTAACAATGTTAAGCAATAAATTATTTTCAAATAAATATATAATAATGAAAACCGGGAGAAAGAATTATCTGATTTTGTTTAGCAGTGTTTATATGGCTTAGCGATAAGTCTGCAGTCTTATAGCGCTAAAATTGGGGTTTGATACTACTGTGTGGTTATGTGGCAAACTACAAATAAACGAAATATGATATCAATTTGTTTGTTTGTTTAAGTTAAGCACAAAGCTACACAATGGGCTATCTGTGCTCTGCCCACCACGGGTATCGAAACCTGGATTCTAGCGTTGAAAGTCCGCAGATATACCGCTGTGCCACTTGGGGGCTATGATATCGAATGCTCAATTAAGTGAAGCCTTTCTACATCTTATTTCTTAAGACTAACACCGCCATATTGGAGAATGGTGGTATCAACTTTATACCTGAATGATAAGTCTAATGGCCTGGGTTGCAACACAAAAAGCAACCAGATAACTCGGAAAATAAAGTTTTACTAATATGTGTTATAAAATTGATAAATACTATTTTATGGTTTAGTAATTTTTTTTACTTTTTTGTCATATTTGATTAATGAAGATTGCATTGAATATGCAATTACACAAAATGAAAGATTTATTTTTGTTTGCACTTCAAATTAATAAGATCAGAGCTATGAACTTTCCTTGCTTTGAACAAATTACAATCCTTTTTCACAATAACTGGCTAAGTAAGCTAATTTCCAGTGACTCAGTATGCACTGCATGAAATGAAGTAAAATGCTGAAATTACAGTAAAAATAAAAGGAAATAATAAGAATGAAACGACTAAAACTAATTAAAGTGAATCAAATTATGCATTTAAACTCTTACAAACAGAATGTCAAGTAAGCAATTTACAAATCGACACTATTTAACATATTGTTATATCATAAGTACGGTATTACTTATAGTAGGAATGGGTCAGATGTGTAATATGTACAATAAAAATTCAAACCTCAAACACACTGCAAACAGCATGTAAACGAAACTTTATAAGCACTTTACACATACTGTTGAGTAGTAAACAAACCAACTGCAGAGTAACACGCCACCAAAGCACTTGAGAAATTCGGTATAGTAAAAACCTAAATTATACAAAACCACAAGTTTGTCAATCTAACTATCTGACTAACATTGTTGGAAAGGCATAGCTCTCTTCTACCTTCACCAAATCTAAACGTGCATGATTGAATTACACTACCTTGGCTAAAAACATTTTTCTTAGTTTTACTTATAACTTTAGTAGTAGTGAGTGATAACGATAACCATTTGCAACGCTACTAACGAGCTAACAATACACTAGTAGCCATATTCTCTGATTACGAGCATACTCTGTGAGTTTCCAATTAACAAATCGCCCTCATATCACGTGTGGGTGCACGATTGCTTAGGCACACGCGATACGTGATCAGCCTGCAGCTGTATCAGCTAGATAAAATAAACTTGAACTATGTAGATTCTCTACAGCTAGGTTTTAACTATGTTCTTCTCTTTGAAATCGAAGTTTTCAGTTCTATACATTTCACTCAAGGGTTCTGTGTTGGATAAAACAATTCTATCATAACAGTCG